CCTAAATATTTGTATTGCATAGACAAATGTACATATCATAAATAACAGAGTAAGGTCTTGATATTTTTAATTAGTCAAGCAAGTCTGTATAATAAAATATATTGTAGGGTTTTAACCTCAATACGTACTAGCAACATGAATATATGTGATTAAAGTTTTTATATGTTTCATTCTACATGCATGTTTTCTATAAAAGTCTTGAGTTTTTCCACAAAAGACAAAATAAATTCTTGTTGCCAAGACTCTGATTAAGTAAACTTTCTTCGAGTTACAGAAGCAAACAAGAAACCAAGTGTCACTAAATGGCTTTTTGGAGCGACTTTCTGGCTTGTGCTTTTTCTGAAGTTTATTCTAGTTTTACTTTCTCTTAGTTGCTGTACAAAATCAGTATTATTAGATTGTCTAATTTCAGACTTCCTCACACGCCGAGCTGGTGGTTAGCGCTGCGTTCGCTCACACAAAGGTAGAGTTGAGTCATTGCTGTGCACTGTTGCCGTCCGTTGCTAACAACACTGCGCGTCCTGAACCTCGGTGCCAGTGGAAAGATGACTTTCCTGACTTTGGATAAACACTCTCAGGTTACCGCGAAGCAAACTGGAGGAACCACAGAGGCGTTCGCTAGAAACAGATATGACACATCCCAGCAGCGTGCCACCGGGCAGAAACCCAGCTGTCGCCAGGCCAAGCCAAACCAAACCGCATGTGCAGGAGATTTCTTTCGTTTCTTTGTTTTCTTTCAGCACGCATTGCACCTGTTGTGTCCAGATTTCGCTGAGCCGGTCACCTGCCAAAAGCATTTCGCCCGTTAAAAGTTGTTTGTTCTGTTCTGCTTCATGCCCAGAATCGGTCTGGCTGTCGACACAAGACGCGATGATGTGATCTAACTGAGGCGGCACATGAATTATGCTTCGCTCATGGTGGTTTGAGAAAACTCAGTCATTTGTTTGAATTTGGTGTATTGTTGGTGGGAAACGTCTAGAATGACTCTGCAGGAAAACTTTTCATTCAGATTTTATGACTGAGCTGCTGTATACTTCCTGAAAAGTTTCCAAAAAGAAGAAATCTGTGAATGTCAATTTTTTATTAAATTACCAAACTAAACCAACTTTTGTGTTAATCTGAGGGATGCATTTACAGAAACAGGTTAACCCTCTGATCCCAAACCAGTTTCTGGGCTTTCTGTTTTTGCTCCTGTTACAGTTGCAAATGACAAAATAAATGTCTATTTTGAAAACTTCATACAGCATTTTTCTGTGTCCACAGGTGTTACTAATACTGTTGGGTCAAGAATCTTGTGCAGTCGCTTCATTGTTTGCCAATTTTTAAAATGACAAGTCAAGAATACAGTGATTTTGATGAAATATCACAATTCTAACTTTGTTTGTGGCTATTTTTCCGAATGGAAACTGCATTTTACACAAATTCACAAACATTTTTTTTCAGTTTCTACAGTTTTTGTCTAATAAATGGTGTATTTTTGAATTTTTAAAAAAAGAAAACATGCATTTCCAATCTGCGAACAGGTTTTGGTGTTCACAGGGTTAAGAGGAGTTGACTTCAAGGGATTAGCATGTGTTTGAAGGGATTCTCGCACTTTTAGCTTTTATGTAATATACTTAAAATCAAATGCTATTTAACAGTTTGAAAAAGGCGCTCCTTTCTGGTGAGGAGTTAGTCTGGAATGTTGCTAATTGTACGCTTGTTAACGATGAAACTACAGCCTGCGGTGGGTTCGCTTAGCTTTTCTTAGCATAAAAACTACACAACAAAATCTGCTCAGCATCACCTAAAACCCACTAATAAACATGATATATCCCCACAGTGTAATTTGTACCAGAACCAAAGCGTAAAGAGGCAAATTTATTGTTTTCTGGGATGTTAGCGGCACCTCTGGTACGTTACTGGTTCAAGAAATAGT